CAAACAAACAAACAAACAAACAAACAAACTCTTGCTTGCTGAAGAAAATGTGATTTTTTTTTTGTTAGGACCTCTATTATAGTAAAGATAACATCAATTTGTGTCAACTGAGATACTGTATAAAATAATTTGACCTTAGGTGAGCAAAATTTGCTTGATTTTTGAACTTGCTTGACAAAGAGTTTGCACAATAAAATCTGATTTGGTTTCAGAACAGTGAAGTGGAACAAATGATGTGTGCCCTCACATTCCTTCTTTATCTGTATATTTGCCTTTCTTTAGTTCTTCCTTTTCCTCTTCTCTTTTACAAATATAAATTTTTGTTTTAATCACAAGCCAAGAATTAAGAATTTAGTGAAAGCTGATATGATATAGTGTTGTAGTCAACCATTTTATTTTCATAACAATTCTATGGAGATGATTAGGTTCAGCAAGAACCTTTTCCTCTTGCATCTAACCATGGCACAAACGATCCTTGGCAACATTTCTTTTTCTATCTTGCTCTGTGATAGTAGAACGAACCAACCAACCAGCCAACTAATCAGACAAATGCATTTGTTTTCATCTTGTTTCCACTCTATGCCTGAGACAGGATTAAGTTATTCTCAGTTGTATTGGTGCTAAACTAGTATTTTCCCTCTTATTCAAACATATACAAGGACAGCCTCAAGATGTGTGCAGTTTGTTAGATTTTGCCATCCATTATTTTGGAGAGAAATTAAGTGGAAACAGATGCAATAGAAACAGGATAGAGACTAACAAGGGGGGGCGGGGGAGACCATTTTATGCAGTCTCTTTTTCTCTGATTCAAGGATGGATGAAGATTCCTTTCATTCAATAATAAGAAAAAACAGTTCATCTCATAGTTTAAGTAATTCCTCAAGTCTAGCCATTACCAGTCCCCATTATTGTGGCAACCTGGAGTCTGATCTACTCACCCTTCTGTTTCCCAAAGAGGATTTATTCTGATCACATCTCATCCTGACATGAATTAGCTACCCACAGTCCATCTTAATTTACAATTGAAATGTTTATGGTGTTCTGAATTGCTTGGAGAGCTGCAGTAAACCAGAGCAAGTCTAGAGAGCTTGTCGAGAATATCCTGAAGCACCTGTAATAGAAAAGTTAACATTCCCTTAATTAATATCCTGGGCAGCCAAAAGGTGTTGAGGGCACAAAAAGTTATAAAGAAGTCTAAGGAGGGGCTGGAATCGTTTTTTTTTTTAAAAAAAATTTTTTACATGTGTCTGTGTGCATTAATTAATGGAAGCTGTTGTCTGGATTAAGGCCCTTGCAGTCTCTATGCACTTCTATTTCATAGGCCTTTTGATAGATGCATTTATGTAGCCATTATCAGTTTCAATAAGTATAATGATAAATAAATCTAACTTGAATAAAGTTTTTACCTATCAAAACAGTATTTGTAATATGATATGTTTGCCAAAGAACATTATACTATGGTAGTCACTAGTCCACCCGCCACCCTTAGTATCATGTTGCATCAGATAAATGAATCTAGATAGTATTTATGGGCACATACAATAAAGAGAAATTTTTGCCCTGAACCTACATGTCTGTTGATCAAACATTATAGCATGTAACATGGTATAACAGCAAATGTGTTTGCTGTCCTCATTATATGTTCCTGTCTTCTGTCCTTACAAATTAAAAATGTTTAAATTGGTGATAATTATTTAGTTTTCTTCCATGTGTTTACTAATAATTATAGGACATAGAAATAAATTGTATAAAAATGTTGGAAATTCTGTTTACAAGGCTACTTATAGATATGGACTACATATACTAATAAGCTTAATTTCTTTTTAAAAATTAAGTAACATTATTTAAATGTTGATAATTTTATTTTACTTTACACCATGACACAAAGAGGTAGCTGGTTAGCATGCAAGATATCAATTCTTTTATTCCCCCACCCTCTGTCTCACACACACTTTCTAATCTTCTATCTAAGCTAAACTCTATTGTTGAGACTATCTACTGTATGTTAACAATAATTTTGTCATAGAAAAGCTGAATTTTGTTTCAGGTTAAATAATATTTCTTGTCTTGTGAACGCTGGTTTTCTTTTAATAGGTTAAAAAAAATCAGCATTTATATTTTCTTTTTTTTACTCATAGTTTAATCTGAACTGCTACCCTTTTCCCATCACTTTCTACAAGATAATACCACTCTCATATTTTTATATTTTAAACCTATGCTCCTTTCCATTCTTTTTTCAAGTCTGCTTTGTGACCATTAATAAATAATAGTTATAGCACTAGCTTGTCAAGTACGGACAGGCAAAAGTTTTTCAAGACTTCTGTTCCTTTTAATAAGTTTCCTGTTTGTAAGACCATCCTTTTTATTGCTTCCTGTTAAGTGTGACAATAGGATTACTGATGAATAGTTTAATTGCCCTTGAATATCCTTCCTTTAATCACCTAATAATGACTATTCTTGTTTCCCTGGGTACATATTTTTATTGATTTCATTTTATTTCCTTTCTCTTTTTCATACAGTAAAAAAATAACTGTTTTCTACCCTTAATAGGAAGAACTAGAAAAGGCAAAACTAATCTGCATTGGCAAGCTGAATATAAATTTTACTGGAGTAAATATTGTTAAAACTAATATTATACCTTGTTTAGCCTAAATGAAGGCTGCAGAGTTATATTCAAGCAATCTTTAACTTCACTAAGATCAAGCTCTATAAGATTAGATCAAAAGCCTGTTTTGTATTCTCATTCCTGGACACATGTATGAAATTCATACATATGACATAAATGCAGCTGAGTTTTCTGTTTGCAGAGAGAATTATAATGCTAATAGTTATCTATAGCCTTAGTCTTCATAAAAGGCTCAATACATTGTCACTGGCATAGTGCCTTCAAGTTACATTAGATATTCCCATAATTACAAGGCATTTTAATTAAAATATATCCTTTTGAAATCCATAAATTATATATATTAAACTTATGTTTCACAGTATAAAATACCTTGCTCTTAGACATTTCTTATGTTGCACAAAATTACTTCCCATTTTTAAGGCTGGTACTGGATAACAACATGTAGCTTCAAGGCCTCAAAGGCACTACACATACACATGCAAACACATATGCATTGTGAAATGCAATTTTTTTTGCTACCGGTTCTGTGGATGTGGTTTGGTGGGTGTGGCTTGGTGGTGGTGGGTCATGTGACTGGGTGGGCATAGCCAACTTTATTTTTTTTTTACTCTTTAAAGCATTTTTACTACCTATTTGCCCGACCCAGTAGTAAAAAAATGCTTTAAAAGAGTAAAAAAAAGGTACTAACGATTGTGCGGCACAGCTGTAATCATCGGAACCTCTTTCTTTACTTTTTAAAGCATTTTTTTTACTACTGGTTCACCTGAACCGGTAGTTGTTATCACTACCGGTTTGCCCAAACTGGAGATTTTTTAAAAAAAGCAATTTTGCAATTTTGCAATATTTTGTTTCATCCAAAAGGAACTAACTTGTGAAGCTTACAGATTTTCCTTCCAGCTGTTATTCTTCTCAGAGTTGTGATATATGAAGCATCTTTAAAAAGTATCTTTGTGGTTATTCACATGAATAATACATTTCACGTGCGCAGTTTGATAGCAATCTGTGTTTCTCAGCATATAAAAATACTTATGGAGCTACATTTACCAAAGAGGCATAAGAAAGATGACACAGATTGGAATGTTTTGTGTAAGATCAAAGAACAGAATTATGATACAGGAAACAACAGCTGAAAAGGAAACCTTTGAGGCCAAACAACCCATTTATTAATTTCAAGACTCCCTTACTAACACCTGGCCCTCCCTGTTGGACCAATCAGCATTTTGAAGAGTTTCTTTGTCTTAACAATTCCCATTTTAAATAACTTACATGGAAAAGTAAGATTTATGGTGTCTCTTATACATACACACTCACTGGATGCCTGTTTTTGTTTTCACAGTTCCATGTGAAAACACATTTCCATGCAATCATTTTCTTCCATTTATTATGTATTGGCACAGAAAATGGGCTGGTGTTTGCAGCTGTGGTTTCTGAGACCCTTGCCAATAGCCAATGATATGATGAAATCAGTTTGCAAAGTTCTTAAAACTGCACAACTTTATCTTTGCAGAAATATTCATAAATGTCTTTGCCTGACAATATTCTCCCCCACAATAAATTAAATAACTATTTGCTGTACTTCTATGACACCATAAAACAGCTGTTTGAGATAGTAGCTCTATTGTGCCTAATGGTAGAGATGGCTAAGGTAATTTCCATTTTATAAAATGGAATTTTATATTCATTCATTTACTCCTTAAGAAACAATGGGATATACATCTGATCAAATAAACAAACAAACAAATGATTTGGTTTGGAGAGTGGTTACTGTTTTAAAAGTATTAGCATATTTATTGTTAAAATTAACTCTGTTTAGTTTCATAATATATAATTATCCTTTTATGAACAGAACTAATACCTATAGTGAGCATTCCTATGAAATAATGCCATAATACTATATTTGAATTATTGGAACAAACAGTGTTTGTCAGATAAAAAGTAACTGGAGAATTTAAAACTATCCTGCAGATGAAATAAAGCCCGCAGAGATCTTTAATTAGATCAAGCTCATGGAAGACAATAGTACGATAAAGAAGATTTAGTAAAACATTTTGTCTTTTTATTACTTTAATTTCAAATAAGATGCTTAACTTCAAAGAATACTCAAGCTACCCTCCCTTTACTCAGTGAATAACTCTTTAAGCAGGAAAGATAACATGGAGTTGTAGTTTGGCTGAAGTTGCTGACTGGTAGAAAGATCAATCATGGTCCTTCTTCCTGGAGCTACAGGTACCATTAAATGAATGTTTTGCACAAACTCCTTTAATATGAATGAATAGCTCGATGCCAAAAAGCTATAGTTGAATAAAGTGGTTCCTTTCTGCGTCCATTTTCTCTAGTCATTGTGAATCTTTTCCTCTATTTTGTTTATTTACAGTAACAGGGGATCTAACAGTGATCTGCTGTAAGTATTGAATGAAAAAAACTGAAACAGAAAGGTTAGTGCCTCTTACTCCCTCATAAAAGAGGAATGTTGGAAGTGTTTCTTAGTCTTTTGGAAGTTTGTTGCTTTTGTGTTCTGAACACCATGTTACTAAATTTGCTAGTATCAAATTGTTTAACTGGTTAAAGTATCCCCTCTATCAAATGTGTGAACACTTATAAAAACATGTATGGAAATGATAAACAATACATGAAGATGAAGATTAATTTGGTGAATAAATTATTTTTAAAGATGATGTTATCTTCAAGGAGTGAATGAAGTTATTGTTTGACCTGATCATAAAAGAATTGTAAGCCAGTATTTCTAGAAAAAGAGTCTGGCACCATTCTTTCTGTACAAACACCTACAACAATTTGGGACTCGCTTCTTTTCATCGAGTGTCCTGGTAAATGGGAGATCGCAGTTTGGACATTATGTTGCTGGACTGAATTTTGTCTTTGATTCTAAGATCTGTCCAGTTGTACTCAAGAATTTTCTAGGCTTGATATCTTCATTTAACAGAACAGAACAGAATAACAGTTGGAAGGGACCTTCGAGGTCTTCTAGCCCAACCCCTTGCTCTATACCATTCCAGACAGATGCTGTTCAGACTCTTTTTAAAAGCCTACACTGATGGAGCAGCCACAACTTCTGAAGGCAAGCCGTTCTACTGGTTAATTTTTTCTCACTGTTAGAAATTTCTCCTTAGTTCTAGGTTGCTTCTCTCCTGATTAGTTTCCATCCATTGTTTCATGCCTTGCCTTCTGGTGCTTTGGAAAAAAGGCTGACCTTCTTTTCTTTGTGGCAGGCCCTCAAATATTGGAACCCTGCTATCATGTCTTCCCTACTCCTTCTTTTCACTAGTCTTACCCAGTTTCTGCAACTATTCTTCATATGTTTTAGCCTCTAGCCCTCTAATCATCTTTGTTGCTCTTTTCTGCACTTTTTCCAGTGTCTCAAAATCTTTTTTTATAATATGGTGACCAAAACTGAATGCAATATTCTACATGTGGTCTTACTAAGCCTTTATAAAGCAGTATTAATACCTGATGTGATCTTGATTCTGCCCCTCTGTTAATACAACCTATTAATACAAGCATTGTCTTTTTTTGGCTGCTGTCACACACTGCTGGCTCATATTTAAAGTGATTGTCCACTAGAACTCCAAGATCCCTCCTATAGTTACTGCTATTGAGCCAAATTTCACCTAATCTGTACCTATTCATTTGGTTTTTCTTGCCAAAGTGTAAAACCTTACATTTCTCTACATTGAATTTCATTTTGTTAGATAGGGTCCAATGTTTGAGTCTGTCAAGATCCATCTGGATTTTGAGTCTATCTTCTGGTGCGTTGGCTATTCCTGCCAATTTAGTCTCATCTGCCAATTTAATGATTTCCCCTTCTATTCCCTCATATAAATCATATATGAAGATGTTGAAGAATACTGGGCCTAAAATGGTACCCCACTTCTTACTTCCCTTCATGTAGATGTAGTTCTAGGAATGCAGTTTGTCAGCCAGTTACAAATCCATCTAGTAGTGATGCTGTCTATCCCACATATTTTAGCTTACCATGAAGTAGGTTGTGGTCTACTTTGTCAAACATTTACTGAAATCCAAGTATATTATGTCCACTGCATTTTGCTGGTCCACTAATTTAGTCACTTTGTCAAAGAATGAAATAAGAATGAATAATTGTTTGGCATGATCTCTTTTTGACAAACCCATGTTTGTCTGGTTATAACTGGCAACTGGTTATAACTTTGCTTGCTTCTGTTGCTTGATTTTCTTTTCTAGAATCTTCTGAGGTATTGATGTGAGACTAATTGTTCTGTAGTTTCCCGGATCTGTTTATTTTTTCATTTTTTTGATGGGAACCACATCAGCTCTTTCCAGTTCTCTGATAGTTCCCCAGTCTCTAGGATCTATAAAAGATATGGTTAAATGCTTGGCATCTGATTGATTTTAAAATGCAACATTTACTAACAGATGTTTTTTTTCTTGGAATGGCTGATCGTTAACATGAAGTATAATCCTGAAACAAAAATTTATTTCATTTTTCTACTGTTTTCACACTAACATACAGTTATAGTGAAATTTAGAGAAATATTTACATAAAAATTACACAAGATTATGCCCTAGAAGTGCAATGATGTTCATGTATATAAATAGATGTAACAATGTTTAACTGAACATATAACACTAGTAAAATATAAATGCCACTTTTGTTCCAGTTACAGATCTGATGACATGAACAGATTTAATTGATGGTGGAAATTATAATTTAAACAGAAACCATAACTTTATTTTATGTCTGGAAATATTTATTATAACAATCCACATTTTTCAGTTGGCTTCAGATATACTGTAATTAACTTTGCTTAATTTAAAATATTGGGTCATTGTTTATAAATAGATTATTCATAAACTTATTATTTTGAGCCTGACCTTCATCTATTTTTTAGTTATAGCTGTGACTGATGATATTTTGCATCATTTTTAATAATAACAACATGACCCTTTTCTGATACTTTGGCAAGCACAAACCATCAGGATGGCCACATGTTCCAACATCAGCATCAATATTAGTATTTAGTAAGAAGATAATCCTTTCTGACTTCTGCTGAAAAAGAAGGAAAGGTTGTTTGTTTTTGTTGAGATCCCCAGCAGGACGGAATAGATGTGTATGAAATGGGAAGACTTTGGCAACTGTAGCAGATAAGGAGATAGAAATGGATGATAGGTACAATTCCTGTCCATGTCCACTGAAAAAAAAAATAGCCAGATGGCTTTATTGTAAAGGTAAGTGTGGGTGGGTGAATGTTATATGTAGAGGAACCAGAACAATTCTGTTGATACAAATAAGACAGTTGTTATGAAAAATTGCCTGCTTTATTGAATGTTATGAAATATAAAGCATTCAACTATTATGCAGTTTAATTACCACACAAAATCTTTCCCAATTCAGATCTGGAGAACTGTTACATATAAATGCCTAACATCGCTTTCCCATGGCAGAGTAAGGGTTAACCCCATTCACCCACCTGGCCCTTCCCCTGATCCCTCCTTACCTTAGCTCCACCTCCAAGGTATATAAGGTGTGGTCCAGGGATCCAGATGCACTTTTCCAGACGTTCACCTGTAATAGAAATAACTGATTAATAAAGAGCTTTGATCCAAGAACAATTCGTGTTGGAGTTATTGGGTAAGATCCTTGGAAACACGCCACAGATTGGTAGCAGAGGATGGTTAACCCACAACTCACAGAAATGGCAGAATCAGGAATCCAATCCGAAGCAGAAAGCAGGATGTTCACCAGAGCCTATACCAAGTAGATGGAAGAGCTGCAGGCTCTCGGAGGCGCCACAGCGAGAATCGCCACGACCGAGTGTGAGCAGGACTACGACCCGAGCCCATTACTCTGGGACGAGGAACCGAGAGAGGAAACCTGCAGCCGCGAAAGGAGAGAGCCACCGAGCAGAGACGACTTCCGATCAACCATACTGAAGATGCTGGAAGCGCCCGCCAGCAAAGAAGAGCTCATCGCGAAACTCCAAGGCCTCCTAGAAAGCCATGGAGCAGCAATGAGCACCCAGGAACAAGACAATGAAGTCGCCAATCCGGCAAGGGAAAGGCATTCTCAAGCTGAAGTTCCGCTCATGGACGATTTCATTTCTGTGCCATGCTCCTGGCGGCCATCTTGGAATGGCCATCAACCAATGGGGAGCCGAGACTCAAACAAAACAGCGCGAAACAACGAGGATCCCAATACAAATGGGGAAGAACCCGAAAACTGCCAGAAATAATAACACAAGCCTGCAAGAGCCCACCTACTGGGCCCAAAGTAGAAAAATGCAATCAAGACTCTTGCGGCAGCACTTGGCTCTGCATTCAAGCCTCCCGCGCTTGCAAAAAACCACCTTGAGGCACCCCAAAGCCAAAGGGACAACAGGGTGGCCACCGGAACCTATGCACTGACCCAGCCAACCCTCCGAGAAACAACGCGCCCAGAAAGTGAGCACCGGAACCCAATCACCTGCAGGATCAACCAACCGCAGGATTCGCACTCGCCACCTGCTGCACCAACAACGCAAGACCCGAGAATAGAAAGGCAAAACAGCTACTCACCAACCGTACAACCTCCGCCAGACTTGTCTACTCGCCCGGAGACCAACCAACACCGACCAGGATCCACCACCGCCGCCGCTGCCACCGCCGCACCGCCGAATCCAGGAAATCCTCGACTTACGTCCATCACTGCCACCGCTGCGCCGCCGAGCTTCGGAGGTCCTCGACCTACGACCGCTTCACCTCCTCACCTCCTCCCATTCTTCACTGGGGATGCCAGCCATGGCATCTGTCGTCCAGGGAGGGCTACGGACCAGCCAGGGGAGAGCCCAGCCTCCCACCGGCAGGCCTAGGCCTAGGCCTGAGAGCAGCAGCAGAGAGTTCCTCACCCGATGACCTCCGGCGCGAAATGAGCTTCGCACATGCTCAGTTACTGCCTGTAAGAAGAGAGAGGAACATAGAGATAAATCCATTCAGACTAGCAACAAGCATTCCCCCAGCATATTGTGAGTTCCCTCACCTACAAAACCATGGACAGCACCAGACTGAGTAACTTACCATGTAGCTCAATGACTTTACCAGCTGATTTCCACAAGCTAAAACTAGATGGGACTAATTTCTTAGAGTGGAATCATCAGCTCCAAATTATCTTTCTAAGGGAAAATGTGTTGTTTTTACTTAATGACCCACCTAGAAAGCCCTGGACCTTTGATGTAGATTGCTTGCACCACAGGGCTTATTATTTGTTAATGGCAAGTTTATCACCCAGCATCTATCCCAGCCTTGGCCACCACTTGACTGTGACAGAAATATTACATAAAATATTCAACTTATTCTATAGCAAGAGTGTAGCCACAACTACCAAGATCTCTAGAGAGTTCTACTCAGCCAGGCACAAGGCTGGAACTCCCATGGGTGAGCATATCTTAAATCTGAATGCTACCAGGGC